GCTTCTTGTTTTAATATTTTATACATGTATGGCCTATATTGAAGCATGGATTCTTGGCAAAAGGTATTTTACTACATGTGTTTTAAATTTTAATATTTTAAAACATAGATTGATGATGCTTGAAGGCTTTCTGAATACTAAGTGGTTATGATGAAAAAAGGTATCCTGTGGAAATAGAAGCATAACAATAAGAAGTATAGAAATGTAGTATTAGGTTATATAGTTAGAGAAAACCTCTTAATAACAATGTACAATTAGACCCCCTTTATACCAATGTATTTTAATTTTTTGACATGATGTTATTGGATGAAATTGATTGTTTTGGTATATATTTGTTTCTATATTTTTGTATTATGCTTAAATGAGTATCGTGAAGACACGTTGTAAATGTATATCGTAAATGGTTGCTGAAGTTTATGACAAGCAAATGCTTGTCATCTTCATTTACGAAGGGACTTTAATGATACACAATGCATGTCCTAAACGTGCGTCGTAAGGTTACGACACACAAATACATGTCGTCTTCCTTGATGATAGGGCCTTCTTTATATGCATTACGCGTCGTAAATGTGTATCGTAAATGCGTGTTGTAAATGTGTGTCGTCTATAGATATAACGCAAAAGCGTGTCGGCTCTTGTTATGACAGGGCCTTCCTTGACGCGCATTTACGCATCGTCTGAGCGTTTTACGACACGTATTGCGCGTCGTAAAAGATTATTTTTCTAGTAGTGAATGTTTCTTTTCTTCATGCACAGACACAAAAACAGGTATAAGACAATTTTTTTTAATAATAATATATTAACCAACATTTCAGCAATGGGTTTGTTTACATCACTTTTTTCTATTCCATAACCTATTACAAAGATCATCGACAAAAACCGTCATCAAATGATGACCATCAGCAGCCCATGCAACACTACCACCAAATCTATACACCAACAACACAAACTATTACCACTACCAGTCACAAAATCTACTACTAATATTGACACTAAAAAACTTAAATAACACAACAAAAATCCAAACCCAGGACATAAATGTTTTAAAGTACACAAATTTTTTTAGTTGAACATATATGTCAACACACCCACAATAACAACACCAATAATCCCAAGACAATACTTCACTTTCTTACATTTGTTGTGCTGGAAGACCATCTTCACATATGATCCTTACAGAGAAATGAAATGATTCTTTATACTAGCAACGAGATTAGAGATATCTAGTTGACCAGTACGAACGTCATCGACCTCAAGGTTCATGACATCCAAGTCTTGATTAATAGCTTATCAGAACTCACACAACTGGTCTTGGAAGTCCTCCTGTATGAGAGATAATTCCAGCTGGGTTTGTAGTAGATTGATAGCAATGTCTTCGTTGGTTATACCATTGGAATGATTCTCCTCCATATGACGGTGGTAGTTTGGAGACCAGCTTTGTTCTGCATGTCGATCGAAGACATTTTCCAATTCTGGAGTAACTTTGGGAAAAAATTAGGGCAATGAAGTTTGCATATGTGCCATTTAGGGCAACTAAGTGGCGATTTTATATGGAGGCGTCTAAATAGTCGAAGCGTGCTCCATACGATTCACATTCAATACAACGTCATTACGGTTGTTAGACGCTTTGAATTCTTGCCATGTCATTACTTACATGTTAGGCTAGGCTTATATAGCAATGTAAACCGGCTATAATATGTGAAAGGGATTATATTGGTAGGTAACAAATAATCCATTCCCTTATAAAGCCACAAAATAAGTTAAATGGCTAAATGGGTAAACCCTAGAAACATAATAGGGCATATATGTCATTTTCACTTTTTATAATCATTAAGAGTTTTCAAATAAATAGTTTAAAAATAACTTACAATAAAAATAGTTAAAAGTAATATTATATAAAAATTATAATGTTATTTTTAAAAACAAAAACAGTGTTTGTTGTTTTAAATAATTACAATCAAAGAAACTAACAATATTCATCAAATAAATTTTAAAAAAGTTCAATTTTTAAAACCAAATTAAAATAATTAATAGTTTTCCAAATACATTATTTTAAATAACATACAACAATAGTTAAAAGTAACATTGTAGACAAAAATTATATTGTTTTCTTTAAAAACAAAAACAATGTTTGATGTTTTAAACAAGGTACTAAAAAGCACGCCATGACACGCCTCAAGGCATGTCGTGGGGCGAGGCGTGATGTACTTGTTACGAAAACATCCAAGGCGGGTTTGTGAAGCGTGGCGCCCAAATAACGTGTCAATGCGTGCCTTATCGTGTTATGGCGTGAATTTTTTTCAAGGTGCTGTTTTTTTTTTATCGGGCCTAAAATAAATGAGTTTTTGTTAATTTTTTTCTATTTGATATTAATATAACACTTCTAAAAACATCATATATTTGATAAAATTCAATAATTATATGATTTATATCTTTTAATGTATATAATATAGTCACACCTTGAAAAACGTCATCGCTCGCCAACGCTTATTATGGCTTAACTTTTACCTTGCCGTCAAACCACACCTTACGTTATTTAGAACCTTGGTTTTAAATAATTAAAATGATGAAAATTAAAATATTAAGTAAATAAACTTTTTAAAATTAAGTAATCATGACTACAACTATAAATATCATTGAACCATATATTATATTTAATTTTATTCATGAATAACTCGCATGTAAGGCCATTAAACCAATTGAGATTATATAATTTTAAAAGATGCTTACATTATCATATAATTCAAAACAAATAATATTTATAACAATTTATTATATTATATAAGAACTTTCAATAACGTCATATATATATATATATATATATATATATATATATATATATATATATATATATATATATATATATATATAATGATTTCAAATATATTGTTATATTTCACAACGTACGAGTATTCGTCTAATATCTAATAAACTTCTACAACATTTCCACCACAACATTTTCATCTCAGCTACATCCATATTCTCGCTTGCCCATCTTAATCATTCAACATTCAGTCCATATTCATATCCAATAAATTTATTTAATTAATATACAAACATATATTACATTAAAAGACCCCATAGCAATTTCAGAATAAGAATGTTTGTGCCTGCCTCCACCCTTAATTTTTTAAAACAAATACGTCATATAAAATCAGTCATATAAAATCAGGTCCTACAATACTTCTTGAGATCCCTAATTTTTTAAAACAAATACGTCATATAAAATCAGGTCCTACAATACTTCTTGAGATCCCTAATTAAGGTCTCAGGGTGTCATAACTCATTTGTTCAGTATAATCCTCCTTAATAAATGAAGTTTTTTGTTACATGTCAATCTTTAATGAGATTTGACATTTATCATTTTGTGGTATTTTTAAAATAAATATTATTCACTTATCAATTTTTGATTTGTTTCAATTTTTAAAATTAAAGTTATATACTTATATATGTAAAGTATTAAATATTATATATATATATATATATATATATATATATATATATATATATATATATATGATATTAAATTGCAATAAATATGTTTCTTACTTTTTTATTTTAATGTTGTACATTAAAAAATATTTTCTATTTACACTTTAATTTAATGTTTAATCTTTTTTTAAATCAATCCGTGTAATATACGGATCTCTCACCTTGTGTTTAATAAACTTCTACAACATGTACACCACAACATTTTCGTCCCCGCTACCTCCATATTCTCTCTTGCCCATATTAATCGTTCAACATCCGGTCAATAGTCATATCTAATATATTTATATAATTAATATACAAACATACGATATATTAATGGAGATTTCAGAATAAGAAAACTTATCCCTGTTTCTGGCCTTAATTTTTTTTAAAAAAATAACCCATATAAAATCGTGTCGCATAATACTTCTTGAGATCCCTAATTAAGGTTTTAGTGGACGTAACCCCGATTCCTTTTGGGGTTATTACTTGTCATTATAATTATTTTATGAAGAGAAGGTCAATATACTTTTTTATTATATTGCATTTTGCTAAATTTATTCATGGACCTTATAGTATGTAACATTATTCTTGTAGAATTTAATATGACATGTGATATGTAACGTGAAGTGCAAGATAAATGAAATTATAATACATGACAGTTTTATGAATATTCACTATTTTTAAAACCAATATTTGATATTTTCTTGTAGAATAATCATGACATGTTTCAACAAATATGATTGTTATTTGTTACAACAGGTCAAAAATCTTATAAATAAGGAAGAATTGCATTCAAAATAAATAGGCCATTATATTACAATAAGTGAATTGCCATCATAATGACAAAAAGAATTAGGATTAATTAATTCAAAATCTTATAGAATAAAGATGAAAGTTTGATTTAAAAAAAATATAATTCGTTTTTACTAAATGTTTACTGAGTGCCTATAATATGTAATACGAGTCTTTAAAAAATGCATTATAGAATGTGATATATTTTTGTAGAATTGAAGATACAACAAATATGTTCCATTAATGTATAAGAATTTGGGTTAATACATTTTAAATCGTAAAACATAACATTCATAGTTGTATTATTATTTTACTATATTCTTGTAAAATAAACATGATTGATTTAATTATATTGTTTGTTTATTAGATATATTGTAGACCATGTAGTATTTAATATTAATCTTGTAGAATGTAATGCCAAACATGTGATGTAACAAGGAGTGCAATGTATTCTAATGATACCAAATGATAGTTTTATGATAAAATACGTATTTGGATTGATTATTGATATTTAATCTTTCATAAAAAAACCCTCCAATTAAAAATGTTTTATTTGGGTCGAAATCCTTAAGAATAAATGGATTACAATTTTTTTTTTTTTTTTTTCACAATTATGTATTTTTTTATAACATATTATTATGTCTCATAAAATACAAATCAATGCAGACTCGAAGACTAAATCACCATATCATGGAAAGATAGCAACTGAATTTTCATCAATAATGGGAAATTGTATGAACGCATCTGCAGATGCTAATTCCATCATCTCTGCTAATCAAAGCTCCAACAACAGACCTTCTTCTACTACAGGTTGGTTTAATTTCGCTTATTGATGCTATTGTATCTTCAATTTCCTTGTTTGCATAAATTTATCATATGGGTTTTGTCTGTTTGTTCATTTATTGCTCAAATAGGATGTTAAGAATTTGTTCTTTTATTTCTAATGGTTCTAATTCTACTCTTCCATTTTAGACATTCGAAACCTTTAAACACAAACACTAGTGAATGATGGATTTGTATTTTGAACCCGACAAAGGCATGCCTTTCTGCATTGAAGTTGGCTACTTTGATACAATGAAAAAAAATCAAACAAAAAGTGACAAAGTATCATGGTATTCCAGTTCATGAACAAACCCTTATGTTCAAAGGAATAATCCTACCCAACGATCTCAACATTCTCACAACTCCAATATCTTTGACAACTCACACCTTAAGCTTATGATCAACAAGCCTACCAGAAGTACCACCACTACCAGCCTCACCATTGATCCTCAACAACCACTACCACTACCACCTCCACCACCACACATAACCACCACCGCCACCACCATTACCAAGGTCAAAATCGAAGAAACGTTTTCACCGTCTTCTTGTTCTTCCTCCCAGAAGATCAAACTTTTCTTGAAAACCTTCGGAGTAGCAATTGAAATAGACCCGAATGATTGAACTTTGAAGTTGAAAGAGAAGATCAACGAAATGGAAGGAATCCCATAATGATTGTTCATGCAAATGGGAATGAATTACATGATCGTAAGACATTACATGAGTGTCAACTTGTTGATGGTTCAGAAGTTGAGCTTACACTTAAACCACCTATGCCTACGCCTACAATGACAACAACGACAACAACCACAACTACAACCACACTTTGTAATTTATGCATGAATTTGATGGGACATAATAATTACTCAAAGAAATTGAATGTAAATGTGATGTCAAAATGCGGGGATGAGATTATGTCGAAGGTGAATCCACTGAGTAACGTTGGTCAATTAAGGAAGGAGTTACAAAAGGTGAGGAGTCAAAGGGTAGGGTTTCGTTTACCAAAAGAAGGATATTTCTTTATATACAAACAAAATGTCATGGAAGAAGATCAATCTTTTAAATGGCATCAAGTCACACAAGGCGACACCATTGAGATATTCAATGGGTGTGTCACCAGGGGGTCTTGAGAATATATTGATTATTTGTCTTTTTGTTACGTACCTAATCTCTTTTCTTATATGAATACATATTCATAGGGTGTGTCACCATTGAGATACTCAACAGGTGTGTCACCGGTGCGAAACATACCCTTTGTTATTAGATGACTTTTAGACGTTTATATTAGTTATCATCTAAAATATAAGTATGTTGTTATTTGAAATATATTGCGTAAATTGCAACTATATTGTTATTTAAACTTTGTTGCCTATATTGTAAGTATGATTCTATTTAAGGCCAATTGTCGATATTATAAGTAGATTTGTTAATGGAGTGGATTTGACCATGATTTAGTTCAAAGTTGTAAAAATCTTATAGATTTAGATCTCAGAGTTCGATCCATTTAACCATTTACAACTCGTACCTATCAACCTTTTTATTAAATGGGTAGGGTATGAATCATTGTCGATTCACTCCGCTTATAAATACTTATCAGACATGACTAGAAACTCTTTGATTTCCCTTAATTTCTTATTATGAGTATTAAATAATGTAATTCTTGTTAGTAGATATTTATTGTTTTTGATAAATATTACTTAGTGGCACGCATTTGGATAGTTTAATATTGTAAAATAATTAGATTAATGGTTTTTGGATATTCCTTGATTAATGGAGATTCGCTCCAAACCATCCCATTGACATGTATATTATAAGTATGTTGGTACGACCTATACAACTTCAATGAATCATATTAAAAATTTATAGGGATGTATGATAAAAAAACTATATACTCAACACTCACCGCCAACAAGTACATAACAACAACTTGATTGCAATGGTGGAAAATCAACGATACATATACCTAAATTAATTAATAACTTCTTAAGGAACTATCATGATAAATTAGTTATTATTTCGTGGATCTATCATGTTTTAATCAATTTTATAATTTATAAAAAATCCATTGACAAAACAGACTACAAATTTAGACAAAAACACAAGTTGTAGGACTTAGTCAAGAACTAATATTGTTTGTACTTGATAATATTATTGTGTGGCTTATGGCTTGACGTTAATTACTAATAGATGTAATTGTGGTTTGATTACTAAGTTTTCATGTTAGGAAATCATTTTAATTATGTAGTGATGTGAATTCATGTGATTTTTGTAGCTTATGTGAATTCAAACGATTTATGCGGTTATTTGATGACATGTGGTACTATAGTTAGTGAAAACATGGTTTTCCATGGTAGTTTGTTTTATCACTTAGAATGTCATTATATGAATTCATATCATTACATGGTATGGGTTTTGTGCGATGAGTCTTGCAATTCTGCAGTTTGTAGATGACATTTCATGCCAATATAAGGTATGGGTTGTCGTGTGACGATTCTTACAATGTTGTGGTTTGAGGATGCCATTTCATACCATTATGGAGGCATTAGTTGTTGCTTTGTGAGGCTTGTGGTTTGTGGGTTACATTTCATAACTTTAAATGATATAAGTTATCATAGGTAAGTCTTGTAGTATTGCAGGTTATGGTTAGGGTTGTTTTTCATACATTCTAATATAGTTTTAGATTTGCAGTTTTTTATTATAGGTGAGTACATAGTTTTTTTAGCACACATATGCATAAAAACATTCTTTTATTACTTTCTATGCGATGTGATATTATATGTATTGATTGGCTATCTACAATTACTTTCCTACATGATATTATATTTACGATCGATAGTAATGACATACGGTTTATGATTTGATGCTAATTACTGTATGATTCTAATTGAGGATTGATTACTTAGTTTCCATGATAGGAAATCATTGTGGTTATGGAATTATGTGAACTCATGTGATTTATGCTTATATGAATTCATGCGGTTTATGAAGTTGTGTGATTACATGCATTACACATTCTATATCTAAACCTATGTCTACACTATATCCTAGCTTAGTTATAAATGTTTATAACACTTGTGTTTGTTTAATCAAATTTATTCATTTTTCATATGATTAAATAGAGAGGTTTGGGTTATTTAATGAAACCGTATTATTTTTGTAACATCCGGATTTTTACCAGGTATCTTGTAAGTTTTAACTTCGTTATATTATGTGAGGGACTCGGCGAGTTGGGGCTCAGACTCGCCGAGTAGGGACGCGGAACTGATCGATGATGCGCGCTTGGACTCGGCGAGTCCAGGGTATGGACTCGGCGAGTCTGCGCTGTGTAATGAAACCCTAAATCTCCGGGTTTGTGGCCTATTTAAAGGGCCTTATGGCCGTCATTTGCACTCATCCAACCCCCAGAGTGTGTCCCTAGAGTTCTTGAGCGTTTGGTGAAGGATTGAGAGCAAATCTTGACCTTGTGGGTGTTGTTTAGCAAGAAGAAGGAGGCTCTAGGCAAGAGGAAGCAAAGGAGGTTGCTATTTCGTGGGTTTGGAGCCTGGATCATCACTTTAGAGGTAATATTTTCGGACCATTTTCTGTTTGGTGAAACTTGATGCAAGTTAGGGCTTAATATGATCATTTATGGGGTGATTTGGTGCCCTTTTGTTCCCTCTTTGAGTTGAGACCATGGATCTGGATCCATAGAGGTCCAGAGGGCCTCACTCATCAAGCTTTATGAGTGGAAATGGAGTCCTTGGCCTTGTGTTGAAGTAATAGAGTCAAAAACATCATTTGTGATCATGTGGAGGTTATTTATGCATCAAGATTGTGACTTTACGTGCTAAATAAGCATGGAGGGACTGGATCTAGGGATTAGTGGACTGGATCTGACCTTTAGAGCAAGATTGAGTCAGTGCATGGCACGGACTCGCCGAGTCCGAAGAACAGACTCGGCGAGTAGCATGAATGTTGCGCGACCACTCAGCGAGTGGCCTCACCGAGTTGGGAAAGGTGAACTCAGTGGGTCAAGGGAGAGTTAGGATGGACAGGTGGACCAAGTCAAACTGGACTCGCCGAGTTGTTCTTGAGACTCGGCGAGTTGAGTCGTGGTGGCCCCACAACTCGTGCCAGGTGGAGCTCGTCGAGTTGGGGGAAATACTCGACGTGTCAAGGGAGGGTTCCAGGGAAATTGGTGCATGCGCACGGACTCGCCGAGTCGCTATAGTGCACTCGCCGAGTCCGGTCAGAATTGACTGTTGACCAGCGTTGACCAAGTGTGATTGTTATAGTGTGATCAACCCTAGTTGGGAGAGTATTAATTAGAGATGTATTGTGCTATAGGGGGCTACAGCTCGGCGGATCGAGTGTTTAGTGATTTCAGGGTTACGAGTTACCGAGACACACGAGGTGAGTCTCCTCACTATACTTTACCTTGAGTAGGTAATCAGAGTGATGTGATAGAGTATTTGTATGCTATGTATGTTATGTGTTGTACTGCATGATTTATATGTGACTTATGTGGTGCATGTTTATCAGAGCTAGAACCTGAGGGTTCACAGAGTTTGGATGCATGGACCCACAGAGTTATAGCCTCGAGTGGCTTATATGTGTTTTATGTGGTATTTTGGGGAACTCACTAAGCTTTGTGCTTACAGTGTTGATGTTATTTGTTTCAGGTGTTAGTGACGACCGCGGGAAGGCGCCGGCTTGATCCGTACACACACGTTTGGAGTTTTACATGTTGATCTTAGGATTTTGTACTGTTTTATTGAACAAGTAAAATGGGTGTTTTTATGAATATTAGTGGAATTATGTTTAATATAAAAATCGAAAATTTTGTTTGAAAAATCAGTGTTACAATTTTAGTGCACCATTTTACCCCTACAATGATGTTTGGTTTCATATTAGTCGATGATTTACTTATTGCCACAGAATGGAAGTAAACAGACCTGAATAACGTGGAAAACTAAAAGTGTATAAATTTTATTGAATTTAAGATGTCTCTAAAGTATTATAAAAGGCCTTATATAGAGTGAATCTAAATTTGGTAGGCACAACCAAATATTGGAACCTTATTACTAAAAAAAATTCTTGAAATTAACCATCTAAATAAACATGAAAAAACATAAATTTAGAATCATATATTCTTTCTTAAAAACATAATAAACTAGAATCACCTTAGTTGAAGTTGGAGGAAAACTGAATTTGAAGGTCTAAATGGACGTGTCTTAAAAGGGTGGGAAAGCTTCCTTCAATTTCTTCTTGAAAAGAACTCGACTTTGACATCTCTTGATAGACAAGTCTTTTTGCTTGTATTAGTTTTAGATGTCAAATACATTGAATGTATTGGAAATAGGAATTGTGTTTGGTAGGTCAACAATATATTTATTATCATTAGTCTTTTGCAAAGTCTTGTAAGGATCATAATTTCATTAGATAAACTTGTTGTATGTGCCAATCGAGAATCTTTTTTTAAGAGGTATAAAGTAACCACATCTTTATCTTCAAATGTTTTTGAACATCTATGTTTATCGATTGTTGCTTTGTACTCTGCATTTTATTGAAAATTCTTTATTTACATTTCTTCATGAATTTTATACATGTCTTCAATAAGCTTGTTAATCATGTTGTTGATCTTCCTTACCAATTCAACTAAATTAATAACTTATCATGAGGGAGTTTTGTATACTAGAAAAGTTGATGAAGCACCTGTTGAGCTTTAAATATCAGTTTTATAGGCGAATTTGGATTGGGCCAGCGATGCGAACCATATCTTTGGTTTTCTCCCATATAAGCAATACAACAAGTTCCCAACCATGACAACTTTAGTTTGGCCATTAGATTATGTGTAAGCAGTGCTATTGCAGTTTAGACTTTTCACAAACGCCTCCAAAGAGTTAACTAGAGGTGAGCTAGTAACTTAATTTCCATAAATGTATAAGAAATTGGGTTAATACATTTTAAATCATAAAAAAATACTCCAACACTCATATTGTATTAGTATTTTACAATATTCTTGTAAAATAAAGATGATTGAGTTAATTATATTGATTGTTTATTAGATGTATTTGTATACCATATAGTATTTAATATTAACTACGGGAAAAATCCGGGTTTCGTCTCGGGTTTTTTTTTTGTGCTTTTT